CTCTCTCTCTCTCTCTCTCTCTCTCTCTCTCTCTATCTGTGGTTCTAGAGACTGAGCAGTTTAGTATAAAATGCAGTGGGCCTTGCGTTTAGACAGCTAACTTCCTTCCCTTCCTCCTCCCTTCCTCTGGCCCCTCTTATTTTTTACGTTCTTTCTTCCTCTACCTCAAACTCTTCCCACTTTCTCCATGCTAGCCCACCCTGAGAAAGCCAGTTATGGCAGGGAGCTAACTTTTAGAAGGCCAGTATTAAGAGGAAATAAATTCTTCACGGGAGTCAATTAACTCCTTCCAGCTGGGGTGGACTTAGACTGTGGCTGGGGGGCAGGGGTAAAGAAGCTGGAGTCAAGGGACCCTAAAGTCCGCACTGATAGGAGCCCGCACGTGGAACAGCCCATTCCACAGACATATAGGAATTAATATGTAGGATTTGGAACCAGAATGCATCTTGTTGTGACCAGAGACCACAGGCTCACCCAGTTTCTGCAGCAACAAAGGGACCACCAGCCCCTCTCAGAACCTGTGTTGGTAGTCACCGGTCTGGGGGATCTCCGTGCCAATGGCGTGTGTGTGTCTTCACCTGTACCGGACATGCCTGACTCTTCACTCAAGTGTTGTCCAGCACACACTCTCATCGGTGGTGTCTCAGAGTCCTTGTTCTCTAAGTCGCCTTTGATAATCCCAAATGTTGACAAGGCTACTTTGCTCCCCATTCCAAAGGACTCTGAAATTCTATACCGCTATTGATCTGTCCTCATAAAACCATGATCTCTGGAAGCTGGGAGGGCTCTAGGAGGTTCTCGGGGTCTGCATTCTCATTTGAGGATAGGAAACCAAAAGTCCAGGCCAGGGAAGTGAGCTTCCCAAAGTCACCTAGCTTGTGAGGGGCAGAACCTGCATTTAAATCCAGTGCTTGACACTTTGAGGGTGAAGCTCTTTCCTAATTCATCAAACGTTTCAAGACTGCAGTCACACAGACCACACTGGGCCATAAACAACCTGTGTGTGGCCCTTCGTAGCTACCTCCTTTAATTAGTTGCCAGCATTTGAATATCTGGAGAGTTAATATTAAAAACCAGAATTGCTTCTCCGAAAGAAATCAGAAGATTTGAAAACAACAGGTCCTTGGTGCCACTGGGCAACCTTGAGCCAGCTGGAGGGCTGCTGCTGTGGCTGGCATGTGCCTCCTGCTGGGCGTGCCTCGCTCTACTTCCCTTGCCAATCAAACCATGGGCCTGGACCCGACAGGCCACTGACTTTGCATCCAACTACAAGATTTTGCCTCTGTCCCACCACAGCCCGGGCTTCTGGAATTCCAGAGTTTTAAGAGCCTTCTAGGGGTACTTCTTATAGTAGCTGCCTTTCTGGGCAGAACACTGAGTCCTGTCTGAGTAACTCTGTCTCAGTCTCACCTCCTAAGTGACACTGCAGCATTTGTGCCCAGAGCATTTCACCCTTTATCTTCCCAGGTTGAGCATACTGTCTTTTTGGCTGTCCCCATCTGAGCCACCCAGAGGGATTTATAAACAACCTGCCCGTCATGGTCCCCACTTCCCCATGGCATGACTGCAGCTAAGTGAGAGCCACAGGAGTGAAGCCACGAGTCGAGGAACAGTGTAGGAGTGGAACTCGTGGCCCTTTAACATCTGGCCTTGTCTGGCATGTTTGAGCACGATGTGCATGATGGGTGCCCATTTAATTTGGCAGAGGGGGCAGCTGCTGGGCATCTCAGCTATCAGGTCACTCAAGGATCTCCCTCTATGTGGAACTTGAGTTTAATTAGATAAATTCATTAAACTGTATAAGAGAAAAGGAAAAGTCCTAAGTCTCGGATTATCTTTGCATGGGGCTCACCACCATCGCCCAGGTGTGAGAATTTCATTAATGAAGTTACCTGTGTGCCTTCCCTCATCCAGGGCTCAGCCACCTTCCTCCCTTCTAAGAAGCAGCCTCTTTTTTCCCCTCCATTTGTTATTTTTATTGAATGTCTACATGGGCATTAAATCCTCCCCCCATTTTTTTTTTTTATTTTTAATGAAGCCAGAGATTCTTCTTTTGAGTTTTGGGTCTCCAAAGCGACAGGGCTGTGTCGGAGTTGTTTGGAAGAGGCGCGTGGGGTAACGCCGGTCATTTTTAGACAGTGTGTTCACAGACGCATTTCCACGAACAGGGAAACGCAGTAAGGAGCAGGGACTTGGGAGACAGAAACGCAGATCCTCACTGGAATTCTGTCCACACCGAGTGCCTTTGGGTGAGCAGTTTAAACTCACTCAGTCTCACTCTCTTCTTCTTGAAAATGGGAGTATTAATATGACCTTAAGAAGTCCAAATGACGAAGCAAAGAAAATGATGTAGGCAAGACACAGTGGCCAATACCTGGCACATACATATTACCTCCCTTTCCCCTTTCCTTCCTGATTCAAGCCAGGAAGCCAGGTACGGATGGGATAAAAAAATAAAACAGGGATGCCTCACTCCCAAGAGTGTCTTCTGGAAGACACTTGCCCTAAGAAATATCCCTGAGTTATCAGAGTTTGGCAAATGATGGGCACTGTAGCCTCCTCTGAAAATCTACCATCACCAGCATTCAGGGTTCTGACAAGCCCTGCAATAAAGCAAGTGGACTGTTCTCATTCGTCTGCAGCTGCCCCCTCATGTGACCATGGAACCTTCTGCTTAGGGGACTCACATGGCCTGGGAATGTCCTTCAATGACAGAAAGAGCCAGAGTAGAAAGTCCACTTCCTCGTGGAGCATCATAGTTTCAAAAGCATTTCTCATCGCTTGGCCTTTCTTCTCTGCAGACATGCCCAGCAACCTCCTGTCATGGACCTTTATGCAGTCTTTCCTCGGCCTTGGAATCCCTCTGCCCCAAAGCTTCAAATGGCTGATCCCTTTGTTACATCCAGGCCTTAGTTCCGGTGTCCCCTCCTTGTGGAGGCCTCCCCCGCCCCCTCTCCACATGGTGTCCTGTCCCCAGCCCCAGTCGCCATCCTCTGCGGAGACCCCACCGCATGCATGGCTATGTGAAGTGGGCTCATTTAGTACTTGTCTTTGGCACATGTCGTCCCTCCTCAAGTGCTCAGGTAACAGGAAATCTTCCACGTGCCCCCAGTGATTAGAACAGCAGCTGGTATACAGCAAGGCCCCCGCTCAAGGTCTGTTGCATAGCTGAATGAGCGGCTGACATGTCACCCTGTTGACAATCCTGAGAGATAAATTGTGTTATTTCCACTTTACAGATGAGGCAACTGAGGCTCAGTGTATTCCACAACTTTTCAAGGTCAAGTAACTGATAAACAGTAGGAGCCCAGATGAGGCCCAATTGCCAGGCACTGTGCTATTCGCAATGTAGGAAATAAGTGTTTTAGTTTATCCTTTTCTTTATGGAGAACATGAATGTGCACAAAATTGGAGGCGGACGTGCCGTTTCCATCTTAATGGCCCATAGCCCAAAGATGCCCAGGCCCAGGGGCCTCCTGGGAGCACAGAATGAGCATGGCCAAACTGTAAGGCATAGGTCAGAGGACCAGCGTGGAAGCTGGTAGCTTACAGAGTAAATCGATTTAAATTGGAGCCATGTGGCTCATCCCTCAGCCCTTACACAACATGAGCAGATGTATTGTTTGGTGTCACAACTCTTGTGTCCACAGTTACAGTCTCTCTGAGGCCGTCAGCAGCAGGAAGGAGGGCAGAGCAGGCGACTAGCTCGGCAAGTGTCCTTCTGCCCTACTCGCCCACGTTTTGGAGGTTGGGTGTGTGGAAGTATAAAGCCCAAGTCAGGGTGGGTCTGAGACCTCAATCACACGCTTGCCCTTCTCCGAGTATTTCAAGGAGTGAATCTGTGGAATGTTCTGCAGGGTGTTAGTCCTCCCCCACCCAACCTGCGACTTTAATTCTTGCCATATCTTTGAGCAGGTACGGCTTGGGTGTGGGCCTGAGTGGCCGTGCTCCTGGGAAACCCTCAGCAGGTGTCCTGAAACCAGCACCAAGAAAACAATTGGCCATTTTCTTCCTAAGCTTCTTTGGCCACCAATTGATCCCTGTCTCCTTGATAAAAACAGGAAAACAAAAGCTGGCATGCAAATCTTGCTATCTGTGCATACTTTATGCCAGGCTTTGGGTAGACAAAGTCAGAGAGATACAGGTTAGAGGAAACTACTCCCTAGAAGCTGACAGTGTTTGAAATCATCATCTCTCCCTCCATAAAGTGCTTAAAAGCTGTGGCAAGACACTGCCGCCATTTGTCTCTTGCTGTTTAGGAAACATCCATGCGCGAGGCACTTTTATTGCGATGCAAAGAGTAGCAAGACAACACACAGGGAAGTCCTAAGTCCAGGTGTGGGGCGAGATTGAAAACAAGGCCTTTGGAGTCGCACATCTGGGTGGGAACTTAAACAAGTAACTTGATCCCACCGATCCCTGATTTTTCCAACTATAAAATGAGTAACACTTAGCTCATAGGGTTGTTGTGAAGATGGAGTGAGCTCATGTATATAAGCAATGAGTGAATAGTCAATAATGTTACAGAGTGCCTGTGTGACGATAATGTAAGGGGAAAGATTGTCTAAGCGCAGGCTGTATGTGGGTTCCGTTTCCTGAAGGATTAGCACACATTCCGGCTCATGGTGGGCACCCAGGGCCTGTGCTTTCAGTGCACAAAGTATGGGGCAATGGCGTCAGAGAAGGGAGGGCAGCATTCCTGCCGGGAGCACACCTGGGGAGACACAGTGAAAGCTTTCTGTAGAAATCTGCATATAACTTGGACTTGAGAAGTGGGTAGAATTCAACTTGGCAGGAAGGTTGAAACAGCAGCTAGAGCAAGTTACAAAGTATGGTCTGTGCATAACTTCGCTGACAATTCATAAAAGACTACTTGCAACACCTTCGGTTGAGTCTCATGACTCTTGAGGTTGGCCAAATTTGAGAGGGTACTAAAGCTCAGAGAGGTCATGTACCTTGCCCACAGTTACACAGCTTCTCGGTAAGAAGGCGTAGTTTTATTTATACCATTAGCTGCCAACTATCGAGTGTTTTTATGTGCCAGGAATCCTGGTGTGTGCTCTTCCTTACCTATCTGATTTAATTCTCACCACGACCCTCATTGAGTACTACAGAAAAATATGAAGGGGCTGTCATTCAAGTCAGTGCCTGGAAGATAAGAAACTCAATGCATACTTGCTGTAATCTAATGATCCCCATTTCACAGATGGAAAAACCAAGGTTCTTCAAGGTTTGAAGATTAGTAATGAAGCTTTCAAGTGGCAGGATTTGAACCCTGGTGTGTCTGATTCCATGAACTGTGCTCTTAATGATAAACTTCAACCACTGCCTTCAGAGTCATCCTCAACAAAGCCAGCGCCTCTCTCTCCTCAGTCTCAGCCTCCAGGAACTTTGGAGAGGGAGGCCGTTGGTCTTAACCTTGCAGCAGGAGTGCAGTGGTTCTGCGAGAAAACTGCCTCTTACGCTCCTGTTCCTTTCCTCTCCAGCTGTGTGCACTTTGCATGTGAAGCCACCGATTGCCCAGAGCTGGCTGTGGAGAACGCTTCTCTCAACTGCTCTAGCAGTGACCGCTACCACGGTGCCCAGTGTACCGTGCGCTGCCAGATGGGCTATGTACTCCAGATACAGCGGGACGACGAGCTGATCAAGAGCCAGGTGTGCATGGGTGCTGGGCTCAGAGCCCCTCTCCAACAGGAAAAGTTGACCAGGTGTTGAACATGTTCTCTGCTGAACCCCCAGCAGATTCAGGTAGTGCTGCCACATAGTAGAAGCTCAATAAGTACACGTTGAGTAAATGAATCCATCAATCTGGAATCTCTAAGACAATGGTTCCCATGCAGAGTATTGCTCCCTGCAACATGTCTCAGAGACTTTGTGTAGGTTGCAAATCTAGAAGGCCAAAGGCTGAGCATTTTGGAATAAAACCCTCCCGGTCCGAACTCTGCCACAATTAAACAGGGCTGCTTTAGGAAGAGGTAAGCCCTCTGTCAATGAGGTTCATTCATTCATTCATTCATTCATTGTAAAACATCTGTTCACTAGGAACCAGATGCTGTACTAAGTGCTAGAGAAAAAAATATTGCTAAGATAAACCTAGTTCCTTCTCTCCAGGAGCTTAGTGACTAGTCACAGTGCAATAAACTCTGGAAGAGCAGCACAGGGAGATTCTAGGAAAGTGCCCTGGAAGAGGTGACATAAAAACAGAACAAGACAGACAGACAGAAGGGTGGGAAGAGGGAAGAAATATGTGCTCTGGGTGCAGGTAGTGATGGTATGTGGAGGCCCTTTGGTGAGAAAGAGCACGGCCCCGGGATTTTTTCTTTTTCTGAACTCGCTCAAGCAGTGAGACTGGAGGGGCAAGCAGGGTCCCCAGGTGCAAAGCCCTGTCAGCTGGGTCAGAAAATTCGACTTTTACCTTTAAGGCAATGGGAGCTGTTGAAGGAAGTGACATGGTCAGATCATGGTTGGTCAAGGTCCTTCTGGCTGCCCACTGGGTGCGGGTTGGAGTCTCTCAGTGAGACGGGTCGCAGGGTGAGCCCTCAGAAGTCATCCGAAAGGCATATTATGGAAGACAGATGTGCCCTGTGCAAGGATGGTGGCCGTGAGTGGATTTGTGTGTGGCACGGTGTTGCCTCGGCCGGATGTTGCTTTGGGGTCTCGGGTGGGGGTGGGGGAGCAGGGCCAGGTGGCTGTTAGGCCCTGAGATTTGAAGACTGCCAAGCTCTGTCACCAGATGCAGCCTCTTCCAAGCCGGGACCCATGGCCTCCACCTTCCTGCTGGAACACACAGGGCACCTGGGGAGCACCGGTTTGTCCTGAGTTTCTGGGCTTGGACAGAGTGCCCCTCGGGACCTCCAGGGCCCTTGGTTGCTTGCCCTGGACACCTCCTTCCTTGTGTCCGGCGTGGCAGGTCTCAATGCCAATGGAAACCATTAGGCTGTTTGGCAGTGAGGTACCTCTGCTCCCTTTAATGTGTGCTTAAGAGGGGGAAATGTCCTTTGTTTAAAATCCCTGGCCAACATTTGGCGTCCCCACCCCCCTGGGATTCAGTGCCTCCCTCCTGGAATGGCCGCCTCCTAGCTGCCAGTGACTGTCCCTCCCCTGGCTCTGTGGCCTGGCCTGGCCTTCCACCCACACAGCCCTGCCATGTTCTAGTTTGGTTCAGATTTCCATCAACACTTTGACTTTTCCCAGCCTTGTTCCTTCCTCTTGTCTACCTCCCCCAACTAGTGAACTGTCACATCTCAGAGTAGAAGAGGCTCTTGAGTTCACTGCCAGTGGAGAGCTCAGACTAGGGGAGGGACTTGGCCATGGCCTCAGGGCACGGAGGACAGACATCCAGGTCTCCGGTGTCCAGGGCGATGCCCGCTCTGTGCCACACACAGTAAGAGGCTCCCTGGGGCCTCCCCCTGAGCCAAGAAAAGATAGGCTGATCATAGCCAGTGTCCCACCATGGTGCCACACTTCCGAGGCTATTCCATGAGAAATAATCAGGCCCCATGAGGTCTGAGTCTTAAGATTCTCATCAATACAATGGAAATGCTGATCTGGGAGAGTCCACAGACAGCAGAAGAGCATAAGGTCCAGGTTCAGTTCACATCTGGGCTCTTTCTAGCTGTGTGACTTGCTGCTGAGCCCTTAGGTCTCTGAGCCTTAGTTTCTGGGGCTATACAATAAGAATTGAAATACCTAATTTAAACAATTGTTGTGAATCATTAAAAGGGAGCTAAAGTTAAACCCTACCTACCTATCAGTCTCCTGATGCCCAGGTGAGACTCTGCACTATAAACTAGAGGAGGGGGCGTTTCCCCACCTACTGGATTTGGTCTGCCACCCCTCACTGGGCCTGCCTCTGCCTTTCAGACAGGACCCAGCGTTACAGTGACCTGCACCGAGGGCAAATGGAACAAGCAGGTGGCATGTGAGCCAGTGGACTGTGGCATCCCGGACCAGCACCACGTCTACGCTGCCTCCTTCTCCTGCCTCGAGGGCACCACCTTTGGCAGCAAATGCTCCTTCCAGTGCCGTCACCCTGCACAGCTGAAAGGTACTGATGGGCCTTTAGCTCGGCTTGACCTGCTTCCTCTGTGGGAAACCTGGAGGCTGTTTCCAGGCCCCCCTCAGGGTCTCAAACACCAATGGTTGGACGGGGCTTTATCTGAACTTCTGGTTTCTTTCCAATAATTGTATTCATGTAAACTGCTTTGCTGTGCAGCTAAAGAGAAAGTAGAGGGTAGGTAAGTATGACAGTGTAATCTCCCCCAAGATTTTACAAATCGTGTAAAAAGAAAAGAAAAGAAAGAGGAAGGGAGGGAGGGAAGGGGGGAGGATGGAAGAAAAGGAGGATTATATGCAAGTAATGTTTGGAACTGATACAACTAATTTATTGGTTAGGATTAGGGTCCAGTATACCTAAGAGGTAAGTAGATTCCTACGTTCATGGAGGTGAAAATCAAGCCTCAGACGATTTAAAGAATTGTCCAGGGCCACCCCAGTAGTGATGGGATCCATGTAAGGGCCCAGGTCAGTCTTCCTTCAAAGCCACTGTTCCAAAGCCCTTAGGGAGGGCTAGGTGAGAAAAAGCACTTGTGGACGAGCATTTACTGGGATCTCCTGGGCTCGGTGCTGAGGGTGTGCAAGTTAGATACGGGCTGGCACATAGGGAAGAGGCTACGTTTTGGGAATGAGTGAGGGGCTGGCCTGGGTGACCTAGAATGTTGGGACTGACTGTCGGGAAGATGGTGAAGCTGAGGTCCAGAGATTGGAAGAAAGGAACTTACACAGAGTCACAGAGCCAGTTGGCAAAACTGTCAGAGCAAGGGCTCTGGCTTCCAGTCAAGTGCTAGATTTGGAGATTGTAGAGTCCCTGGCTTACAGAGTTCAATTTATGATTTTTTTTTACTTTACAATGGTACAAAAATGATAGGCATTCAGAAGAAACCGTACCTCAGGTTTTGAATTTGGATCTTTTCCTGGGCTAGCAATGAGTGGTACCTCTCCTGCCACGCTGGGCAGAGGCAGCGAGCTACAGCCCCCAGTCGACCGCGCCATCGTGAACGTCGGCAACTGGCGAGTGCCCAACCATTCTGTACCTACACAGCCTCTCTGCATTTCACTTTCAGTTCAGTAGTCAAGAAATCCCATGCGATATTCAATACCTTATTATAAAATAGGCTTTGTGTTAGATGATTTTGCCCAACTGTAGACTAACGTATGAGCACATTTTAACTAGGCTAGGCTGAGTTCTGATGCTCCATAGGTTAGGTGTTTTAAGCACATTTTCACTTACAGTAGTTTCAACTTACCAAAGGTTTGTGGGAATGTAACCCCAGCATAAGCTGAGGAAGGTCTGTATATCTAATTCGCAGCAGTGCCCTGATCCTCTGCTTTGCTTGGTTGCTCAGAGGAAAGCTTGCCCCTTCATCAGCTACCCACAATGATGCCTCCCTCAAGCATGGGTGCAACCTTGGGGTCCACCTTCTATAGGATGGAAGGAGTGAACGGACATCAGTGCTGCATGGGCAGTGTGGCGGGAGGTCTGTAAATTCCCTTACACTTAGATGTAATAATGTATTCATGAGTTTCAGGCATTTTGAGAATTGGAGAGAGTCAAGAGTTTCCCCGAATTTTCAAGGGGATATAGAAATTCAAAATGTTTTTGGACTTGAGTCCCTGGAGGGCAGTGGCTGCGTCTAATCCCTTTACACATTGCTGTCAGCAAGCTGAGGACCTGCCCGTAGTAAGATTCAATAAAGTGCATTGATTTGGGTGGCTGGATACATTGCTGAAAGTAGCACCACAGGAGATGTTTCTTTTGAGAAGAGCATGAGAGACCCAGCCGTCTCATTAAACTGCCCCAAAGAAGACCAGGATGCCCCTCTGGGGTGCTTCCCTTAGGGTCTCCTCATTCTTAACCTTAGAAGACTGGAATGAAAAGCTATAGACATTTCATTTGAGCTACTGTGAGTGAGAGGCAAGGAGGCCCCTGGAAACAGCAAGCCCTCCACCTCCCGGCTCTCCAAGCCCTTCCCTTGGCCCCATTTGCCCTGATGTGGTCTATTAATAACTCCAGCCTAGGAAATCACACTTCCCTCAATCAGGGGCCCTTGGGAAAGGGAAGTGTATAAATTAGCATTGATTATTACAGCCCTCCTTGTGACTAATAATAATCACTAATCAAAGTGACTTAGACCCTTCTACCAGTGCTTCTCTGCTGCTCTGGTGGAGGGGGGTGGCCCTCTTGGGGAAGACAAGGCCCAGGAGGACCACCACTTGATGGTTGTGGATCCCAACTTTGCTCTTTCCTTGAGAATACAGGGAAGCACCTCTTCAGGGGCCACACTGTCTCCCTGGGCTGTGCTGGCATTCCATGGCCCTCAGTTCTCAGCAGCACCTTGTGCTCAAATTTTCGGTCTGATGCTTCTGCTTGGATCTGCTGGCAGCAAGGACTGGGTGGGTCCTGCTACCTCTCTCTTGAGATTTTAATTTTTCCCCCATTTTTGTTTGCTTCCCTTTCCTGCCTCCCTTCCTCATTTTTTCCTTTCTCTGCAGCATAATTTAAGCAAAAAGAGTACGAGCTTTAGAGTTAGATAGAAAGGGATGCCACTCCTGGATGTGCCCCAACAGTTGATCTTAGGAGAGCAATTTCAAGTCCCTGACCTTCAACACTCTCATTTATAAAGTGGGTTTAGGAGTTCCCACATGGAAGGGTTAGGCTGAGGATTAAAAGAGACTGTGTGTAAAATGCCAGAGCCAACAAAAGTGCCCAGCAAATACCCATCTTCTCCAAGGGGCACCTTTGTGAGAACCCGTGGAGTGACTGTTCTCCCAGCCCCTTACCTCTTTGTGCCCAGGGGGCATGAGCCCCGGGAACTGTGGGTACGTGCTCCATGCTCCTCCAGGGATCCAGAGGAAAGTGTCCTCAGATGAGCAGCCAGCACCCGAGCAGGCGGTTGAGTGTAGTTCCCAGGAGCTAGTTTAATGCAGGTGGCATCCCAAACCCATTTGCCTCTTATATTGCGGGTGACTTTTTCTTGAATATCCCAACTTTATGTCAAAATCTGAGCCCCCTTCAAAATGTATGCAAAACATCCTGTAAACTCATAGCCTTATCATCACTTCTGCCCAGGTTCTGTATCAAACGAGCACTGTAAACAGAGACAGGTCCTATAAAAATGCGCAAGGGAAAAAATACTCTCAAGTTTAAAAAAAAAGCATCAAAGTCATAAATGTGTAATTAAATGGCTAAAAGTGCAACGTGAGTTGCATCATCTAGTCAATCTCAAGTCAACCCACCCATGTTGGGTACACTTGATGCTGACTGTGTAGTGAGGCTTCTAAGTAAGCATGCACTCATCCTCCAAACATCTTTTTCAAAGGCCCACTTTCTACTGCTGGCTCTTGTTGCCTTTCTACCTCAGTTTTGCCTATCCAACCCCAGATTTAAAACTCAGTCTATTCACTAGTTTCCAGAAGATACCCAATAACATGGAGCACTTCCTGATTTCCTAGACTTTACTGAAGATAGAGACATGAGCTGGGTGGACACGGAGAGTGGTCACATCCTACATTGTCAGCAGTTGACATGTAGATTCATAATACTTCATGCATTTAACAAATAGATAATGAGGGCCTACTATGTGCGTGGTGCTAAGCTGGGTTCTGAGAATAAAAGAATGATAAGATGTGGCCCTTGGCCTTTGGATGTCGGCAATGCCAACACCATGTACAAGGTACCAAGAAAGCCAGACCTTAGTCTCCAGGCCTTTCCCCTGTTGTATTCTGCTCTAGGTTGGTACCAGTCTTAAAGGCACTCCTACAGAGATTTGGTCTTCTGGGGAATCTTTTAAATAAAATAATTGAAATAGGCACCTCACTTTTGGCAGTGAATTTACAATAATTTTTAGACTCATTAGAGAGTGAAATTTCCTTAGGCACATTTATAGACAGGCTGAGCAAGATTTATTTTCCTGACGTTAAAAGATGAACAAACAAAAATACAGGGCCGTATAACTTTTTGAAACCCAATCTCTGACATCAGCCCTCCTACCCTCAGCCAGGAACTGCCCACTCAGGGATGCCTTCCCTTTGTGTCCTGAGTCATGGTCTCCCAAGAGACACAGGTGTGGAGATCAGACAGTCCATTTGCGGAAGTGACAGGCATAGCAGGGGTCTCTTCGAAAGCCAGTTACTGCTGTGGGCAATGAGAACTCAGTTCCTTTAAGGAAATATGGAAGACAGGGTAAAACATTCAACAGAGTTATTGCAACTCTGCAAACCGGCATGTTAACACACCAACTCTACCAGTGGTTGAATGCTACTTCCAGGGGTATTGACAGCTTAGCCCTGTGAGCTTGCCTGGCATAGGGCAGATCGTGCCTCCATGACCTGAACAAAAGGCTGCCAGCATAGGGTTGCAGGTGCTGTAAGCATCCTTCAAGAGTAGAGAGGTCAGTGCCAAGGGGTGGTTATGGTTAGGGCGTGGACAGCATTCTTCAAAGCCACATGGTGGATGAAGGGGAGTGGCTACAGCTGGGCATGGGAATACTGATTCTGCCATGTTCAGGGTCTGGGCTCCTGAATTTTAGTTGTTGTGGGGCAGGGGCATGTCCATGGTCCTGAATCACTAGTTTCTGCTTTAGCAGGGTTCTTCTTTTGACCCGTGGTACACCGCTAACTCCTATTTACCTACTCCCAGAATTTACATTTCTGGTTTGCAGTTTCTCTCTTGATTAACATTTTGCAATTTTTACATTATCTTGAAGCAAACAAAAAACATGACTTTCACTTTGCAATGCACGATTTACATTGCTGATAGAGTGTACTTTTAAGACTTCCAACACTTCCTGCACAGATATTTTATTCTTCTTGAAAAAGTTAGAGAGTGTGCTCCCCGTAGCTTTTATAAGTCCCCTGTACCCTAAGTTTAAAACCCTGCCCCAAGCACAAAGGCAGTGCAAAAGCAGTGTGTATTCTCTGGTGTCTGAGAAGCCTTTCTGCTTCTATGGAAGCCAAATGAATCACCCTTCTGCACCCTTTACTCCTTTTTCTTGATGTAGAAATGCCTGTAGTTTGCAGTACTGCAGTTTGTCACTGTGGGGTTCACAGGCACTAAATTGTCTTGTGCTCAGCGGATGAATCCTGCTGGCAGAGAAGGAGAAAGAAGAAGAAGATGAATGGGTGTAAGAGAAGCAGAGGGAACTATCCGGGATGCATGGTGCTCTCCCTCCTTTTATGTCTCCTACTTTATTTCTCTCCACAGTACGCACTGCCTTCTAGCAAACTAAAGACTTTACTTCTTAGGGTGAGTCATTGAGTTCCTCCTTATCCTACTAGAATATAAGCTCCAAGAGGGCAGGTTTGAGGATTGGTTGCTTGTTTTTGTTTTAGTTATGTTTGTGCTTTGTCCCAACATATGAAAGTGTAGCTGGCACAGCGGAAGGACAACATAGATGCTGGTTGGATGAATGTGACTGTGCAGCTCCGACAGTCCTTTCAGAGCCACTAATAAAGGCAAATGGTTAGGAGGAAGGGGGAGAGCGAGGTCGCAAGTGAGGAAAGAAGCGGGAAAGGAGAGAGAAGCAAGTGAGAAATTTGACAGCACTTTTCTGGACACCTTTCCTAAATGTCGTTGCCTGTTATCTTCTCAATACATGAAAAGCAGGAGCAGCTGTTTTCTTTCTACAGATAGGAGAGCTGGGGTCTGACTCTCCCCCTGGGTGCTTGCAGAATAGATAAAAGGGCTCTGCTGAGCATAATTAGCCAGCTTCCCATGAAAAACAACAACCATCTTTGTAGTTAGACAAAATCAGTTTTAAACTATTTTGTCTCTTACAAACTATGAGAACTTGGTCAAGTCACTTCACTCTCCGAGTCTATTTCCAGATATGAGTTGTCACAGCAAGAGCCCTGTTGGGAGAATAAATTAAGCTTACGGATCAAAAGCACTCAGGAGGGAGTAAGGGTCAGCTTCGTGCCTGTCGCCCCACCCCTCCCACTTTCAAGTCAGACCTCGCGACCAATCTCAGAGCCTTCTCCGTGCTTCCAGCCTTGGTGGTCGGCACCACTCAGGAGTAACTGGGAAGAGGAGAGTCTGGCTGAGAAACCCAGATTTCAGGTCTATCTCTCAGTTGTCTCAGGGAGGTTTTGGGCAGGCTGTGCATCGATAATGTATGACCTGGCATTGGAAGGCCTAACTTGGCAAGTGTCGCTTTTATTTGCAATGTTTGCATCGGGCCAGCTTCCCGACGGCCATCAGCACACCTGTCAGCATGACACAGGCTGGGGGAAGTGCAGCTCTCCCAGCGGCTTTGGCAAAGCCTCACTGAACACAGGGGCCTGAAAAGAAAATCATACTTCCAGATACCCCAGTGCTGTCACTTTCAGGCATGCAGGGGGCTAGGAGAAACACAGGGGTGCAGGGCCCAGAGCTGGGCAGCAGCTTGAGGTTACACAGCACACAGATACTGAGTAGATTCTAAGAGGAGCGTACTGTGTTCATTATTAGGGGGCAAGCGCTTTCACCTCCGGACTCGGACGCCCATCTGGCAAAGCAAGGGGGTCAGATGGAAGGAGCGTAAAAGTCTTTCTTACGCAGTCAGTTGTCAGGAGCCTTGAATTTTACTTCCCTGCAGACATTGCAAGTCACTCATGCAGTTGGATCTCCTCTCCTTTGTGGCAGCTCTTGGCCTCCCTGGGCTCCACAGCTGTCAGTGGAAGCATCTGGATCTCCAAGAGGAAGATCCTCTGGTTCTTTAAGCTAGCTGAAGTCCGCATAGCCCAAGCACCAGTGTGGTCCCCGGGCCCCCGACCCCCCGCGCCTGCTAACCCTGCCTGCCTGCTCCCTCCAGGTAACAACAGCCTCCTGACCTGTATGGAAGACGGGCTGTGGTCCTTCCCGGAGGCCCTGTGTGAGCTCATGTGCCTGGCCCCACCTCCGGTGCCCAACGCAGACCTCCAGACAGCCCGATGCCGAGAGAACAAGCACAAGGTGGGCTCCTTCTGCAAGTACAAGTGCAAACCTGGATACCACGTGCCTGGGTCCCCTCGGAAGTCAAAGAAGTAAGTGGGGCCGAAAACACCACCTCACAGGTGCTGGGAGGAGGAGACTTAGATCCGGATGTCTGATCACTCATTTCTTAGCTGGAGGCCATACCCACTGTTCCTCCTGTTCTGTCCTGTGGGAATCTAGAAGGACATTGTGCATAACTGTCTGCCAGCTGTGTGATTCTCAGGCAAGGGACCTCACTTCTCTGGGCCTCTCTTTTTCAACAAAAAAGATGGGGGTGATGATGATAAGTTACCTCACAGGATTATTATGAAGAATAGATGAGGGTGTATATGTAAGGTGCTTACAAAATACCCAGTACATAGTAATTGTTCAATAAATGGTGGGCATTAGTGTCACCGTCGTGCCAGCACTCCTCAGAACAGTAGGAGAAGGACAAGGGCTTGCAGGGCTTCTGGTTTATTTCAGTCCCTCATATCATTGAGAGGTTGACTGAAACCGGTTTGCCCCTGTCGAAGGACTTCTGTGAACACACCTCCCTTAATCCCGACACATGGCCCTGCTACCGACACAACAGGTCGGGCATCAAGAATGCAAAGGGAAATGAGAGGCCAGCTGTCTCCAGAGAAACGTGGGTGTGTTCGCAGGGCACGGGTCTAGCCATCTGGTCTTTGAGATGTCTCTTCTTTCATCTCTCCCTGAAGACGGGCTTTCAAGACTCAGTGCACCCAGGATGGCAGCTGGCAGGAGGGAGCTTGTGTTCCTGTGACTTGCGACCCACCTCCACCAAAATTCCATGGGCTCTACCAGTGCACCAATGGCTTCCAGTTCAACAGCGAGTGTAGGATCAAGTGTGAAGACAGTGATGCTGCCCAGGTAAGGCTCTGTGAACTTGAGATCCATACTTTGGTCCCTCTCCTATCTGTTTACTGGAGACCATTCTCTATTTGAAGACCCACTTCCTCTAGGAGACTCTCTACAGATGCCAGAATTGTATGTGGCAGTGTCACCAATGCTGAAGTTAAACTGGGCTCTAATTATCTCTCTTTTTAATCTCCCAGAGCCTTGTTTTGCCTCCCCAATACACCGTATATTATTTGCTCAGAGATTCTTAACTTTGAAACATTTTTAGTGTTGGAACCCTCATGGAGGAAAGCATACCTGGAACCCCGAGGTACAAAACTGGTCAAAGCAGAGTTGCTCTGACAGGACTGACTGGCTGTTCTGCCAACTTTCTACCACCATCCCTACCTCTGTTAGTCTTTGATGTATTTAAAATTGTAAGACCGCTATGGTCTTGAGACAGCATTGGGTTCCTCAAGCATGATGAGAAAGGGAACCACGTGTAGACTAGAGTACAGTTTTGAGGACACTGTGGAAGAAAGGGAGACCACAAGACAGGGTCTGTATTTTATCTCAAGCCACACATAACTGAGGGCAAGTCCAGCATGCTTGCGTGCTCCTGCTGAAGGAGTTCTGGGAACAGATTCTTCTCCATCCTTGCACATATGCCCCTACATCCAATAATTCAGGTAGAATGGAAAAGGGAAATGAGGGGCCAGTGGCTCCAAAGAAGCCTTAAATCTGCAGGGAGTTCCCACCTTTGTAGGACCCACCATTGTGGGTTGAGACCCCACCCCATGTCTGGCAGGTGTGCAAGGATCTCCATCCAGGTGAGGCCCGCGCAGCCTCCATCTGCAGTTGGTCCTGCCGAGTCTGGTCCAGCGCCAGTCCAGCACCAGCCGCCGGCAACCATCCCGCTCAGCTCCTCTCACTCCTGCTCCCCACATCCTGCACCGCTTCCTCCAGGAACCCCTCCTGGATGTTCCTTCTACTGTTAGGCTCAGGGCCTCCTTCCCCATCGCAGTGCTGGCCCCACTGTATTGCCATTCATTTCCCGCTCTGCCCCCCACCAGGCTGTGAAATGCATGACCACATCTTTCATCTTTCCTGCGTTTTCCACACCTGGGACAGTGCCAGACACCTAGTAGGTATTCAGGAAATGGCAATGAGAAAGGGCCTCAGTGAGCATCCAGGACCATCTCTTCATTTTCCAAATGAGAAAAACCAAGGTTCAGAGAAGTCACTCAACCAGCCAAGGTGACACAGCTGGTGTCGGCTGAGTCAGACTCAGAATCCAAGTCCCCACAGCCATGAACAGACCGAATCCAAGGCAGTGCCTGACAGTCCTTGAGAGAGTACACGCCTGGACGTCTGTGTACCCCAGTCATCCCTGTCCTCGTCTGCCAGGAAGGCAGAAGCCAGTGGCCGAACAAGCGACAGCCAGAGATTCCATGGCCTAGCGCAGGCTGATCAACTTCCCTCTCGCTCCCTTACATAAAACTGTTGCTAACAGTTACCCGAACTGCGAAGCCAAGTAATATTCTGGCCGTGGTTATGTTATCAAACTGAAACCCAGTCTGCCTGGGGCTTGCCAAGTACTTTTCATGGCCAGTTTGTATTTAAAGGAGAGGAAAATGTAAATTTATCAGACGACTCAAGCAGAGTGTTTGGCAACCGGCAGAGAGGCGAGACACCAAAAAGCAGGGTATTGCTTGTCGGCTCAAAGAATGAGGGGACGTGTGCCAAATGGGCTCCTAATACAATTGACGTTTCTGGTTTGTACTGAAAATGAATTTCCTCTACCCTCAGACCAGGGGCCCGGGAGCCAAATCTAGTATTCACCTCAGATCCCCTCTTGCTGCCTGTAAACACAGCAGAAATGCACAGCCCAGAGCATCTTGAATCCAACAGCTTGTATGGAGCAGGAATTCTTTGCTCTCCAAACAAGTTCCAGATCCTGGCAAGAGAGGACAGGGGCTATTGTAAGGGAGTTTCACATACTCCCTCCCACTGCCACTAACAGCAGATTGACAAATAAAACCTCCATTTCATTCATTCCTTGGGAGTAAGCATGACACTGAATCTGGGTTCGAAGTTCGAATCCTAGCACTACCACTTGCTAGCTGGATGACTTGGGCAACTTATTTAACTCTTTAAGATTCAGTTTCCTTGTGCATAAAATGTGGGGGAGTAGTACTTCCTGCCTCATGGTTTGTCAGGATTAAATGAGGCAGTGAACGTAGGGTGTATCTCTGAGTACCCCCTGGAACTGCACAGTGCACAACCTGAGCTGCCATACATAGCGGCCCTGGGAAAGGCACAGATGAACTAGCCTGCCTCTAAGGTCATTCTCGTGAAGAGGAGCCCCGATGCTCCGTGTGGGCTCCTAGACAACCTGGAAACAAAGGCCATGGCTTGAAAGTTAGCCCTCCCTTAGCATCTAGCTCCAGAAAGTCAGAGAAGGGGGCATCCGCCATGCACGAGGCCAGGATGTCGGGTGCGGACACCAGTATGAACTATACGGAAACCTGATTTGTTGCTCCAATAAACCCGTGCAATGTATAGACTCTCTAGACTAGCAGTGCCCAGTAGAACTTCCTGCAATGATGAAAATGTTCAATATCTGTGCTGTGCAAAACATGGCCCCCAGCCACGCGTGGCTGTGGAGCACTTGGAACGTGGCTAGAGTGATTGAGCAGCTAAATATTACATTTTATTTAATTTTAAATAGTTCAAATTTAAGTGTAAATAGCTAGACTTGTATAGTGGCTACTGTATTGGACAGTTCTCTAGAATTTATATTGTTATTATCCCTGTACACTAAGATGGAGACCCACAATAATAACAGCCTTTTAATTTTAAGTATTTCCTGGATGTCAGACTGGTGCTGCAGACTTTTACTCATTTTGACAACTCACAATAAACATTTGGAAAATAATGTCCCCGTTTTAAGATGAAAGAAGGCTCAGAGGCTAAGTTCTTGCCCACTGTTAGAAGTCAGTAGATGGTGTTGACCGACTCCACGGTCCTGCTCTTCCCACTGCCTCCGGATATTTCCAGGGCAGGTAGTGACCGAGGAATCCCACCCCCAACAACTCGGGGGAGTCTGTCTTGGCATCTCATCCAGCTCAGGTGCTGCAAGGTGGTGGCGCAGGCCCTGTTCTGTGTGAGAAGTTCTGTGGGGCTTTGTAGGTGATCAGGGGACCTGACCTGCTTGGGATGGGACAGGAGCTGCAGCAGGAGAGGGGAAGGCTGGTGGTGCTTTGGATGGAGTAACACAGGTAAAGGTGGGTCTCTGCAACTCAGCAGAAGACAGGGAGAACGGGAGTGGGATTAATCACACATCCAGCTCGTGGTACGGATCACGGAGGGTGGCTGCAAACGCTTTCCTGCCGCTAGTGGGATGTAGCTGGCCCTACCTTTATGGGCTCTGTGGTGAGCACAGCATAGCTCTCAGACGATGCCTCAGTGAGCAAGGGCAGCTTCTACTTTCAGGGCTGTCAAACACTTGCCCAAGCAGCCAGAGCATCCTGGGGGAAGTCAGAACATCACAGACCCACATGATGTTGGAGGTGGGCAGGACCTCAGAGATCCCCCATGACAACCCACTTATTTTATGGAGGAGGCCACTGGAGCCCAGGGAGGGGAAGGGACTTACCCCAAGTCACACAGCAAGTCACCAGCAGAGTCATATCTCTTAGGCAAGCCATCGCATGCCCATCGCTGGGCTGAGTGTTTACATAGACCGCTTCATTTAAGCCCCCCTGCATCTGGCATTACTGGCCCATTTTGTAGATGCGGAATCTGAGGTCTGATGAGGAAAAGTGGTTTGCCCGTGTCCTGCAGCTAGGAAGTGATGGGACTGAGACTCCTGTTATTAGGTCAGACTGCCTCCAACGCTTGACTATTTATAGCCTGCTCTGCACAGCCTGCTTGTGTTGTACTCGGATGCTGCCACGTTTCTCTCTGCCGTTACTTTATAAATTTTCATTTCTGTAAGGAAGTCATCTAATTTTCCCTCTCCCATCCCTGCGTCTCCTCTTCCCTCCTCTCTCCCCCATGTACTAAAGGCACAGAGGCTTACAGTCCAGAGACCTGGTCCCGGCTTCAGCAATGACTTATGTTGCCTCCTATCCTGCTTCCATGTCCAAAATGTGGGTGATGGGGGCTCTGATCCTGAAGGTCCCCCACAGACAGTACAGCCAAACAGCTGAAAGCGTTAGCCAGCACCTAGAGAGGTGCATGTGTGTGTGTAGTTCTAAATGCTACACAAACACTAACTCACTTTGTCTTCATGATGACTGTCAGGTAATGGACTCCATGTCCACATCACAGCTAAGGAAACTGAGGCATAGGGAAGTTCAGGAGCTTCCTTAGGCCCTCCCAGCTAGGATGTCACAGAGCTGGGGTTTGAACCTAGGCGGTTGGCTTAAGTCCATGCTTTTAACCATTATACTAGCATCATTTAAAAGCTCACCTTCTCCCTTCTGACCTGAACCTCTATTTCCAAATCCGAAAAAGGGGTGTGATCTCTACCCTACTATATTGTTAAAAGGGTTTTTAAATGCCTGCAAAACACTTGCCACGTAAAAGGTAATTGACAACATAATTATTACATGCCTTCAGCTCCTTGTGGACCTGTGTAGCTACAGAGAGCTCAAGAGAGCATGGCATGCTTTTTTATGGATGGATACACAGGCATAAAGGCCAAGTATGTAGCTGAGGAATGCTCATCGTTCTTGTGAGGGACTGTACTTACTAGCACGCAGAATTGTGCCTTTAGAGACAAATATTCCTGGTGGGTTCCTTGCCAGCGGTCTTCAGTCTTCCCAGATTGGATCATCAATGTCAGGTCTCCTGTAGTGCAACTAGAGTCAGCATGCAGCGGGTGGTAACAAGCACTGAGGGCGCCGAGGTCTAGTCCTAAAGGAGGATTTAAAAATCCAGAAAGACTTCAGAAAGTCGGCAATGCTGACCAAGGGCAAAGGTGTAGGGGTGGGAAGTGAGAGAAACGTGTACAGTGACCACCAGATGAGAAGGAGGGACATGCACACAGCAGAAGATGGTTAGACACGTCCTCCGGGGTCCTCTGTAGGAGCCGTGGAGTGCCAGCCCGTGAGGATGGTTTGTTTGGAGGGCTAAGGTGTCTTAACAGAAGGGTGCCATCTTTTAAAAAGCAGATGTAGTCAGCAGCAGAAAGTGCCAGATGAACTGGGCAGAAGGGAGAGAGACCAGAGGCAGCTAGAACAGTGCCTTTCGGCTCCCATCTTCTCTGATGGAGCTCTCTATGGTGAAACTTCCTGAGCACATTCCAGCTAGTTCGAATACATCCTCTGCTTCAAGCGAGCTCCCAGCCAGCTCTGGCCCACGGAGTGCTGAGGTCTGCAGCCCTTCAGGGGCTGGAGGCCAAATGCATCATAGGCCCAGGCCAATGCTCCAGGAAATTGGGGTCAATTTCCTACTCCCCCGAGGGCCCAGCAGAATCTTGGGGCCTGGGGCTCTGGAAGGGAAAATCAGGGTTTTCTGAAGCCACATGAAGCTGCCTAAACTTTCTCTGAGCTCACACAGAAACTCTGGGAGGGGACTCTGCAAGACGACCTGCAGCTGCATGCTCAGGATGGGCCGCTGTCTCCCATGGCCACAGACGTTCCACTGCACTTGGACCCTTCTCGGGCTGGCCCACAGGAGGCCCAAGAAGGCCCCGCCTTTCTCTCCTCCATCCATCTCCCTGCAGCTGTTTTCTCAGACACAGCAGCTTCAGCTTGCCTCAGAACCTTTCAAGGAGCTTATTCACTTCCTCATGCATGCATTCATTCATTTATTCACTCATTTCTTCATTTACTCATTCATTCATTCATCCATGCATTCACTTACCTTCTTGTTTATTAAGCAAATTCATGCCATAACTCTCAACCTTTTCACCTCATCTTTGTTAAACAAATAGTTCTTGAGTGAACAAAATTGTCTGTTGAGTGGTAGATGACTGGACCTCTTAAATGGACCTTTTTAAGTGTCCTGTAAGGCCCTCAGGATGTAGAAATGAACAAGCCACATCCTGAGGTTGGAGAGCTCAACATCTAGAAGGGAACCAATGGAGAACAAAAAAGCAGTGCATGTTTGTATGCTGTACAGAACTGGGTGGCATTAGAATAGGATGGTTTGTGCTAGATAAAGTATTTGGGCAAGGGGCTGAGGTAGGGGAACAGCAGACAGAAGGAGCAGTGAGCACAGAGGCATGGTGGTGTGAAACAGCAAATGGTGCATTTGAGAATGCAAGCAATTTAAATGAAGTTCAAGGTCCGTGGTGGGGCCAGAAGGAACAAGAGCTGTAGAATTAGTCAGAGTGAAGGCTGGAGGGCTCTGGAGGCCAGACACAGGAGTCTGAGTGAAAGCTGAAGGGCAAGGGAACCACTCTATAGATTTGTGCACAGGTAGAGCATAATCAGCTCCTCTGGCCTCGTGTAGAGTTTCTCTTCTTATCATAAACTTGAGAGCGTGACAATATACAGCTTGTTCTTTGATAGAGAGACCCCTGTATTTTCAGAAACCACCCAAGGTTCTCCATATCCAAGGGGTAGAATCCCAACTCTGAAGCTGACATTCAAGGCCCCACACCTTGTCTGCCTTAGAATCTCTTCCTCTCCCACTTCCTCCCTTGGGCCACAAGACTAGAACCATGGGGAGGAGGGGGTGCTTTATGATGCTCCCGTCACTTCCTTGCATTTGCACATGCCCTTTGGCCTTCCAGAAATGTCCCTCCATCTCTGTTCTGCTTGTGATTCTATGCATCCTTGCAAACTCTCTTCCATATATCACCTTCTCTGAAAGGTCTTCCCTGCTTGCTCCTCACAGCCACTCACTCTCCCTGCATACTCATGGCACTGTCACTGAGCACAGTCCTGCTGACATGGCTGGCTGCTCATATGACTGCTTTTCCCCCTGGCTCACCGGAGCAGATGCTGGCTCGCTTTACTTCTGGGCCCCGCAGAGCAGGGCAGAGTGGGCACTAAGAAATGGTCCCTGATGTCAGGCACCATTCTGAAATTCCTACAGAACTGGACCTCCCGTTTGAATCTTAGACACTGAAGGGGAGCTCAGAGAAAGGGCCATGTCTGTGAGCAGCATTTACCCACCACTTTGCTAAAGACTGAGAAACTGTCTGTTGCCTGTTTTGAAGAATTGGGGGGCATAGGTAGAAATATACTCACACCACACACTTGGTCCTGCTGTTGCTAGAATGAACGGGAATAGAGCACAAGGGAAAGAAGGGCAGAAAAGGGGAGGAGGGGCATGCCCTGGAAGAGAAGGCTCACACACAGCCCAGAACCCATGCTCTTACTCATTCTACAAGTTGGGGCACATTTGGATCCCCACTTTCTCAGTCAGAAGAAAACAATATACAAATTCCTCTGACTGAAACCTCTGAAAGAGCACTAAGTCCAGAGTTAGGCAGTCTGGGAAGCTTTGAGCAAGTTTCTTTCCACACTGAGTCCTCAGTTTCCCCGTCTGTAGAACAGCAGTATTAACAGTGCCTCTATTTTAGGGTAACTGGGTTTCCACCATTGTTAGGAAATTGTTTTGGAACATTTTCAGAGCTCTGGGGAAATGAGAAATCATTTCCTATTTTACTTTAAGAGGCTTATTATGTTGAAGGCTGTGTCACCCTTGGGCCTGACTGTGTTTCTGTGGTGCTCAGGGACGTGGGAGCAATGTCATCCACTGCCGGAAAGATGGCACCTGGAGTGGCTCCTTCCACCTCTGCCAGGAGATGCAAGGCCAGTGCTCGGCCCCGGACCCACTCAGCAGCAACCTCAAGCTGCAGTGCCCCGAAGGCTATGCCATAGGTACGCGGGGACAGGGCGGGAGGTCGCTACGGGAGGGCCAGGTCTGCCTGGGGATTCAGGCTAGTGCCCTGCACGGGCAGCCAGGCACCTTACCACGTGGGGCCGTGTGAGGCACTGGGGAAATGAAGGTGAATGCGGTCAGACCCGGCGTTCTGGGAACGTGTGAAGCAGTGGTGGGTGGGTGTGCCTAGTGTCCCCGGAGAGCCTCTGCAGGACCAGTGCCTCCGGGACATGGAAGCTCCCTGAGGAAGGGATGCTTGTGCAGGGGTTTGGAAGTGCTTTTTGGGCAAGAAATGGCGTTCCAGACAGAAGGAACCATGTACAAATGGAAAGAGATGTGATATTTAGCAAAGCAGTGGCAGCTCAGGGTAGCTGCTATTACTATTGATCTCAAAATTTGCACAGTGCTAATCATTTCTGAGTGCCTACTGTGGGCCAAGGCCCTGCATCGAGCACTTTAGAGGCATTATATCTTATCCTGTCAATAACCTTTAACGGAGGAGGAAACAGACTTCAGCGGATGACAGGACACGCCCTGACTCCTGACACCTCTCCTGCTCCAGAGCCTCAGTTCTTTCCAAGCCGTCTCAGGTGCCTCCAGAATGAGTACACGTAGCATTTTAAAAATTGCTGTTTGTTTGGTGATAGGCCAGCTCACAAAGTGCTCCCAGTGAGGGGAGGCAACCTGGGGTTTGATGCCAGGGATTTGCCTGGTTGAAACCAGGCCTCTGGACAGAGGCATTAATCAGAGGCTCTGAGGCTTTCTGGGGAACTGGTGTGCATTGCGTCTGACCTCAGTTGAGGGCAGTGATGCTAACCTCTTGGGCCGATTCCCTAACTGACCATGATAAAGAGCCCAGGGGATTGGATGTTCTTTCTCATGGCCAGTGTGATTTATGGGACAGTCACTAGGGATGTCTGGAGCAGAAGGTTATCTGCACACATGCTCACTCCCAGTCACACGGCAACAGCAAATTCTACACCCAGGAGAACGAGAATTTTCACTTCCTGTCCAGTAGTGAGGCTCTTGGTTGGAGAGTGGAGGTCAGGGGGCGCCTGACCATCCCCTTTTGGAGATGGGGATGCATGGCCTCAGTGCCAAAGGTCTTCACCTGAACTGAGAGTAGAATGAGGACCCCTACATTTAGTCTGGAGCGCTCGCTCCTGCAGATGTGGGAAAACATCAAAGGGCGTGTTTGCCCTCTCTCATGATTCAGGAGGCACTCCACAATCCTACAACTAGCTTATCCAAAAGACCCTGAGCGGGAGGCTTACAGAGAGGTGGGATCTTGTAGGGCCTCCCAAAATACTCATTCTGGAACGTCGGGATAACAGGTGTGCAACGGCGAGTTGCTGGCTGGTTCATCCCAAGGCCAAGGCTTTATCCTCCGTCATTCCTGATGGGCGTGAGTGTGTGGCTATGGCCTCTGTGTCTGTGGCAGGGTCCCTACATCAAGCTCAGTCAGGATAGACAAGTGACTATACCAACCTACTATTGACTGTATTAAGCAGCCCTGGGAGAAAAATTCTGATCAAGTGACTTTTATTAAAAAAACAAACTATAGAAACAGGCTTCCTGCAAATATATATCCATTGATACAATCAAATATATCCACACATGCACAAATATATCCACACATGTATAAATAAACACAGGCACAGATGACTAATAGCCAGAGACCCCAATACATCATATAGTAAAGCCCTGCCAAGCACATCAGCCAAATACCACACACAGACACACACACAGGTACACAGTGCACACACACACACGTGTGACACAGTACACCTACGTCATGGGCACAAACACATCGTATGCTTCGAAACATGTACAACACACAGAGAGAAATGCAAACGGCAGTCATAGCTCACACACATGTACACAGATGCATCCCATGGCCGCTTTGTACATACTCTGCATGAGCTTGGCACCACACACACAAGGCACATGCCTGGCTCCCTGCTCACCCTCAGCACAGTGGGAGGTGGGCAGAGGGGTGGTAGTGGCATGCCTTCAGGCACTGAGCTTTGTCATGGTGAAAGCAGAAAGGGAAGCAAGTCCCTGTGACTTTGGGGCCTGAATCTCCTCCCCCTCCTCTGCATCCCACGTCCCCACTGCCATGCAGATGCCCTTTTATGAATATGATAATATGGGGTGGGCAGGGGCTCAGGGGGGAGCTAAGAGAGAAAACGCAACACCAGACACTGAGGGAGACAGCGAGAAGGCTGAAGGGAAAGCAGGTCCCCTCCTGAATCCCAGATTCCCACCTCTGAAGGCCCCAGATCCATGCCCCAGGCTGGGGAGAGCCCTCCGCACCACGGAGAGGGATCTCACCAAAGGCTCTGTAAACGGTTGAGGCGCAGGTTGGTCTGTGTCAGGCTGGGGGCTGGAGGGCACGGTCTGGAGCCACCCAGAGCAGCTCCCTTGGGGGCGGCCTCCCCTGTGCAGCAGTCAGGTGCCCTCAGAAGGCTGCTAGTGCCTCCATGGTTGCCACCCTCCCCGCTCCTCCCAGGATGGAGAGGCAGGCGGGGGCCTGGTGAGATCACCACTCTGTAATGATGCCAATTATGGCTCATATATCACAACACAGCAGCCTAGTCCTGGAGCCCAGCAGCTCAGTGGGGGTGGGGGCAGGGAGGGCGGAACAGGGCGATGCAGAGAAAGAGAAATCAGGGTGTGACTGCTGCATTGGGGCAGCGATGGCCGCCTGTGTCACAGTAGTTTTTCCTTCTTCTCCCCTCTTGGATAAGATAGCCTCTGTCTATTTCTTCTGTTTCTCAGAGGCTGCGTCTCCTTTTTTCAAAAGAATTCTAGAATCATGTCTTTGCTTCCTTCTCGCTCCTTAAAAACTCCAGAACTGGACTCAAGACCCACAGCCAGCGCCGAGTTCCTCCCACTGCTCAGCCATTTCCCCCTTCCTCTCTTCACTCATGTCTTTTGTCTCTACACCTCCCCATTTCTTTTCTCTCCTCCAGCACTTCACCTGGCCCTGTGCCCTTCACTTGGTATGGCTCTGCTGCAGCCATCCCTGGGCTTGGGCGCCGGAGGGTCCCCGCTGTGCTCTGCCCCCCTCGCTCTCTTGCCTGTGAAATGGGTGCGATGACTGACACCTGTCTTGTGGCTGGATTTGCAGGACAATGAGTGACATGTTAAACCACCCAGCAAAGCCAGGGATCCCTTCTTCCTGGACTCAGTGTCCCTGTGTTTAAAGTGAAGAGGTTGTGAACATTGTCCTGGACCTGCCACCCTACCCCTGGCCCCCTCTTCAGTCCTTGTGAGTCTCTTAGACTGAAGAGGGTGATAGAATGGCAGTGGGAGGGCAGCAGACAAACTATACAGACATATATAAGTATGAACATATGTATATGTGGCTCTGAGGCAGGGGAATGACCTCCGTAGAGCTCGGGTCAGATCCTGACATGTCAGTCCTTTGCCATGGACGTGCACCTTTTCGGATTCCTGGAGACATCCGTGGGGAAGGCCTGGTTTTTCAGAAGACTTCAGGATGTGTGAGGTCGGGGCAGAGAACGAAGGAGGCAGACTGTAGTCAACTTTGCCAAACCACAGCTTAAAGTTAACTATGTTCACCGAGAAGCCCCCGGATGGAGGGCTTCCATGCACTAAGCCGGCCCCTGCTAGTCCCCCGCGCCTTCATTGACTCAGGACCTGATTAAGTTTTTCATTCCTTTATCCATTTATTCAGTCTCTCATCCATCTACACACCCTCTTCCTATCACAAGATGCCTAAATACCTATTCATATCCACCCATTCATTCACTCCTCATTTCCCCATCCTTCACTCTTTGCCTCTTTAATTCATTCACAAATACTTATTGAATGCCTACTGTCCGCTACTCACAGTGCCAGGCCCTGGGCATAGGATGGGGAACAGAGAGTGCTGGCTTCATGTAGTTTACCGTGCAGGGAAGAGAGCTCTTGCTCTAATAGTGACCAAGCCACTGAGAAGGGGCAGTATGACAGATGCCATGAGGGGTGCCCACGAGAGGCCTTTGGCCTGTCAGGGGAGCACAGAGGTCTTCTCTGAGCAAGTGGCACTTGTAGGGTGGTCTGAAGGATCATCAGTGATGCCCTCGTTGACAAGGAGTGGGAAAGGTCTTGAAGGCACAGGGAGGCATGAGTCAAGCTGTGCACAAGGAGAAAGTGGGAGGCTAAGAAGCTGGTGGCGCATTCTTGCGCTCACCATGCACTCGGCAGATGCTCAGTGAGCAATCCCTGCATGTCAGGCGCTGGGGTAGGCTCAGAGATGAACTGACCTATTCCCTGCCCACCCAGGGCATCCCTGTAACTGGAAAGGAGGCACAGGTATGAGGCCAACACTGAAGCAGGCCTCAAAGGTGCTGAATACAGCCGTCATTCAGCTCTAGAAATCAGGGCAGGCTTCTTGGAGGATTCAAACTGCACCTTGAAAACCCGACAGGATTGGAGAAGGCAGATGGGGTGTGTTTCAGGAGAGGGGCTGAACAGATGCAAGGAAAGAGCAAGGAAGCGTGGCACTCAGATGAAAAAGTGAGCACAGTCTGGTGGGACTACCCCAGGCGGGAAGGCATTAGTGGGAGATGCGATTGACCAGACCGTGTGAGGCCACGGACACCGGGCAGGGGGACTGGACTCTGTCCTGGGTGTGGGGAACCTCGGGAAGGTTTTTAAGCAGAAGAAGGACGTGGCCAAACTGGGCCCAGGGCCAATGAACATGGTGTCTGCTGGGCTGGAAACAAGAGGACAGACGTGGGGCGACCAGAGGTGGCTCACTGCCCTCAGTGGGATGGCCTAGTGTACTGGGGACCTGAGAGTGGCAGGGCACACTGTGTGAGGGCAGCCCTCGGGCATCAGGAGGCTGTGGCTGACTGCTGCCTCATGCTTTGCTACCCCCCAGGGTCGGAGTGTGCCACCTCGTGCCTGGACCACAACAGCGAGTCCATCATCCTGCCAGTGAATGTGACGGTACAGGACATCCCCCACTGGCTGAACCCCACGCGGGTGGAGGTGAGTGGCTGGGGCTTCCCACCTGGGCTGAGGGGGGCAGTGGCCTCGGTGAACACCTGCCGTGCCCCGGGCCTGAGTTAGTCCCTTCACGTGTGTTAGGTTATCACACTGTCACAGCTGCCCTGTGTGGTGGGCACTTGTTCACAATCATTAATGCAGTGCTTAAGAATTCAGTACTTCCTGTCTGTACGGCTCTGTGCTAAGGACCTTTTACTTACTGTCCCAGTGAATCCTGATGACAGCCTGGGAATAAGAGGACTGATGTCCCTAGTTTGGAGATGAGGAAAACTGAGACGCCCAGAACACGCAGGTAGTAAGTGCAGTGAGGTCTGAAACGTGGAGTTCGCTGGGACGGTGCCATTGGCTTCTCCAGTAGAAGCCCCTTGGAAGGCCGTCCACATTCCTCAGCCTACATTTCTCATATCTTTCTGCATGCTGTACCTGTCATATGTGACGTGGGGAACTAGTAACACCTGTTGCTTATGAAGCACCCATGCACTGTGTGCCAGGCACTTAGCTCACGGACTGCCTTTAAACCTCAGAATGGTTGTGTGGAGCTGGAGGTGGGAGGTGGGTGATGGTGGCGGGGCCACTGTCTGCATTCCTTACTTGTGTCACTGAGCTCTCGGGGCTGAGGGAGGCGCCCAGAGAGAGGGCTCGGCCCCAAGGCTGAGTCCCATACTGCGCTCTCCCCCCAGTGCCAGGCTGGTGTGCCCCTGGCTGAAGGTCAGCTGTGGCAGCCCTGCCTCCTGTTAGCCGCGGTCAGCACCAGGGCTATCACCAGGATCACTGTGGGCCTGGCCCCTCCATTGTGCCACCTGATGAGTGGGGGCTCCCAAGACTGATGGGGGACCCTTCCTGTCCTCGAGGGCAGCGTGACTCCCAGGTCCCATGTGCCAGTTCTGGGCACTGGCTCACCCTGCAGAAAGGAAGAGGCGGAGACGGCGTCTCCCCATCCAGTGGCCTTACTTCCCTGGCGCGGGGTGCCTCCCGTCCGCCCTCACTCCGGGAAGCCGGGCAGCACCTGACCCTCCGGGTGCTGTTTCTCAGACGAGCTGAGGGCGCCGTGTGCGGGCTGACGCGGCGCTCTGCCCCGCGCTGAGCCTGACCAGCCCCCTGGCTCCCTGTGCCCCCAGCGCTCCTCACCCTCCTGTCTCAGTCCCCTCTCTCCTTTCTGCTGTGCTCTGCTCATCTCACATTTCCATTCCTCTTCCTGCCTCTGTTGTCACTCAGTTCCTCTCCAAGACCTCCATGTCCATAGTCTGTCCCCTTCCTCTTGCTCCGTCCCCTCTGTCCCCTCCACCTGTCCCATACACCCTAGGGGCGGCCCTGTCTCCCTCACCTGAGCAGGCGCAGGAGCCCCCTCATGCCCAGTACCAGTGGTGGTCTTTGCCTGGGACCCAGACCAGGTTTCCCTGGCCCAGCCCCCACTCAGGCCTTTCCTGTGCCCCCTGGGTGAATTCCCACCCTTCCCTCTGTGAGCCCGAGGCACCAAAGAGTTCAGTTATAATTCACTGTGAAATAAATCCAGGGATTTGAAAGCCTGCAAGCCCCCTCCTCCTCAGCTGCCCACCCGCCTGCCCGCCCCAACCCCCACCCAGCTCCCTGGCCTGCTGGCCTTTATTGATGCCGGCCTACCGAGAGAGCCTTAACGAGGTTCAGGCCTCCACTGGTCTCCGGAGGCCTCATTATCCAGGAGGAAAAAAAATGTGGTAGAAAAGGGAGGAGGGTGAAGGGCAGAGATTGATGATTTCCAGGAATAAGTCAGAAACGCTGGCCTCTGCTGCACCCCTGCCCCAGTGTGGTGAGAACTACAGAAATAGAGCTGCTGGGGCAGGCAGTGCCAGCCCAAAGCAGGCCCTGGGCAGCTCTTCCTGAGGGCCTGCGGTTGAGTGTCTGCACAAGGGAGGTGGTCAGGGCAAGGCTTTGCTCCAACTCCTGGCAGCTTTGTCTCCAGAGTAAAAAAGTGAGAGGTGAGAACTGACATTTAACGGTTGTCTGCTGTCCATCAGGCACTGGATCAGGCACTTTACAGCCTTCATTTTCAGATCCACCCCCCGCCCTCCCAACACACATACACAGACACCACTTGCCTAGGAAGAATTGAAGAGGGACCCAGGTCAATCTAATGTTACAGTTTACTCCAACTCCCCATGCAGCCTCTGTTAAATGCATAATAATAATAGAGGTGAGACATTTACCGATCACTTAGCAGGCTCTCCAAAAAAAACCTAACTCTAATTTGTAGCATTTGCCAATTACTGTGGTGTAAGTATTCCCACCATGGCAGATGTCAGGATTTCCAAGTTGCTGTCACTGTGCACAAAGTTGGGAAGAGACAGGCACTATTGCCTTACATGAGCCCCTGCAGATCAGCTGCAGCCCACCACTGGCATTTATCGTATCACATGCACTTTACATATTGTGGCATGTATGTAAAGAATGATGCCTACTCAGATGAGTGGAATGTCAATGTTGAGATCATGTGTTATGACTAGGGTACCAGAACAATGACCTTTGTGAGGGCAGGCCTCCGGTCATCTGATTTACCATGGCATACCTCTCAGAGCCTAGCACAGAGTAGATGTGCTCACTAAATATTTATGGTCACTGAGTCAGGAGACCAAGGTTCTAGTTCAAGCCCAGGCACTCTTTTGTTATGTGTCAATGGACAAATCCTATCACTGCTTTAGGCCACAGTTTTCTTATCTATGAAATGAGAAGTAGCCTGATTAAGAGTCATACACTCAAAACACCTACAGGAACCAGGAGCTGAAATAAATGGGAGAAGACCAAGCATTCCTTTTGTATATTAAATACCAGACTTACCACGAATAGCAGTAGTATCTACTCTAAATATTCCAGAAAGACATGAGGAAAGTATAAGAAGCACCCATGTGCATACTACTCAGTTTAAGAAATAAGACATGACAAATGTAGTTGTTCTTTTCTTCTTGAGATATAAATTACATGCTGATATTAAATCTTAAGCATAAGGATTGATACATTTTTATGTTTATGTCCACTTGGGAGTCCACTGCCCAAGCCTGGATGGGGACCTTCCCCTTCTGAAGCCCCAGAGAGCCCTCCCCCCACCATGCTGGACAGTGCCCCCACCACCAAGGTAACCTCTACTAGTTTTGCTTTTTTATTATTTATTTTTTTATTGAGACATAATTGACATAAATATTAGTTTCAGGTGTATGAAAATCCCAGCGTTTTCCTTTTCAGAGTGACTTTCATAAAGAAAACCACTCTGTCCCTTTATTTTTTTAAACTTCCTCCCCCTTCAAAGTTCCCCCCCCCACACACACACACGCACTTTTGAAAGTGTAGGAATACAGAGCACTCTTCCCCTAATCTAATAAATGAGGCGACACAAACTCAGCGAAAGATGAAAATGGTCCTCAGGCTCAGTGCTGGAGAGACTGCAGGGAATGGTGGAGACTGTGGTGAACTGTGAATGCATGAAAGGGGGTGGCCCTAGCTAGTGTGGAAATGTGGGACTAGTGTGGTCAGATTTCCTTTTTTTTGAGTACAAGAAATAACAGAGTTTTTAAAATATGAAGTCTCTCCTTTTCTTTTAAATATTGGCAAATAATTTTGACTTCTCTTAAGCACTTTGCATGCCAAACCAAATGTTTCTGTGGCTTGTACTGCCTGAAAGCTGTTGGTTTGCAACCTTTGGATAAGATAAACACTTCCATCCCTGAGCATCTGGAATTTAGGGTGTCAGCCTCTTTCCCGCCAGCTCCCAAGAGTGCTCCAGTTTTCCCTGTTGTTCCTCTTGCTCATAGAAAATGCAGCTCATAACCTCAGAGGCTTATAATTCCTCTAGGTACTTGGGACCTTGGATTTTATAATGGCTCTGGAAGAAGGGTGGAAGGAGGAAAGAGAGGAAAAGAAGAAGAACAAGAGGGAGAAAGGGGCTGAAGGCAAGAAAAGGAAGTCACCATTTACTGAGTATCTATGAGATTTGGGGCAGTCCCATATAGGCCACCTCAGTTTGTCTCCATCACACACCAGTGACATAAATACGATCACCATTTCCGGTGAAGAAGCTGAGGTTCTGAGAGATTGTCATTGCCCAGTTTGCATAACTAATGTGACTGTATCAGAATTAAAACCCAGGACTAATCCTCCTGCATCCCGTCTTGCAAAGCAACTGCCCTACACATTATAGAGCATAAACATGTGCAACACTCGAACACAGGATGCCGAATGCTTCTGAGTGAATACCAGGTCCCAGCTATCTGATGCAGAGACGGAGATGCTCTGTGTCCTGGAGGGGGAGCCCCAGATGGAGAGATGCATCCAGAAGGTGTTGATATCTCATTCCCTCCTGGACACACGCTCATGTTGACCCATTTGATCATTTGTTCATTTCACTCATTCAAAGACATTGATTATGCACCACCTCCAAATGGAACTTCCTCTTCAAACACAAGGAATACAGGGTGGAAAATACCCAGGCTTTTAAAAAGCTCACCCAGAAGAAAGCCAGAAGCTCAGCAGCTGACAACAGGAGGCAAACATAAGTTAAATTATGTAAATCACTCACAGAAGGTCCTATAAGTCAAGGGAAAAATCAAGGAGGAAAGCGGGTTTATGTTACAAGGTATCAGGAGGGCGTCAGATCAGAGCCGCAGGATGGGGAGGCTTTCTGAAGATGCTTTCTGGCACATCTTCCGCTCTGCCCGGAGCCCATCCTCCTCGGGGATCCATCTTTTAGACACTGCCCCCTCCTACATGTGTCTCAAAGACTCTCCACCTTTCTGAACCTCCGTATTAATGTGGGTCAGAAGAGTAAGCTATTTTATCCTTGTAGCTTCAGGGCCTAGGGGAACTTGAAGGACAATGTGGCATTCAAAATACACACCTGCAAGTCACACATGTGTGGGTTTAATTCCTGACTGTCAGTGCCTGTGTATGATTTGGGGCAGGCTGTTTAACTTCTCTGGGCTTCAGTATCCACTTGTGTAAACCAGAGTCAAAAATAGTACCTATTTTTTGTGGATTCATCAACTAGATGAACATTCTGAGCACAGGGCCTAGACCATAACATTGGCTCAAAGGGTTTTGCATTGATAAGGATGATGATGATGGAGTTGGTGGTAGTGCTATGATGGTGGTGGTGGAGGTGATGGTGGTGATGGTGATTGGTATGGTGTTGTTGACAATGGTGGTGGTGGTGGTGGTGGTGATGCTGTTGGTCATTGAGCCAGGAAGACAAGAAGGTCTATTCTTGCTGTGCACCAAGACAGGAAATGAAAGCCATCTTACAAAACCTGGTTTGAAAGAGCTCTGACTGGGCGTCAAGGGGAGCAAGGCTAACTTTTGAGGGGCCCCATCTGGAACCTCCCATGTTGGGGTATAAACAGCCAGCCTTTCCTTCAGGTCCTGCTGTTCGTCCCCTTTCCCAGTCCTCCTCACACACAGAAAGGCCCTGTGGTGAGACAGGTGGGGCATGCAGCCCTGAGGAATAGTGGAAAATCCAAAAGCCTTGGAAAGATAAATAGGCTCATGCAGATGGTATAAAAGTCCTTTTTCTGAACTCACATCAGGTAAACCTCAACTGACAGAAACTCGTACAGTCACACCAAGAGACTCCTACAGATGGATTAAATTAGCTCTCAAATAAACAGGGGGAGGGACGGGCATCAAATCCCTCGTGGACCCAAACTCTGCTGTTTTCTACTACTTGAACCATTACCAAATACCCCTCCACCATCCCTGCATTTTGACTGGGGACAGATTCTCAACTAGAGAATAGAGTCTAGTCAAAGTTTCCTGGAGAATGAAAGCAGGTGATTCTCTCTACCTCTGGCGCCACAGCTAGGAAGAAGAAGGCAAGAAAGTAGCTGAACTGAAAGGAAAGAACACTGCAGCCCCTCACATTCCTTCACTTGGTCAACGTGTATTTATTTGCTTTTCTCCTTGCTTTGACCCTAGGGAGAGACAGAGACATCTAACTAAATCTGGGCCCTTCCTGCAAGAACCTAAAGGAGATGCTCCAAGGTTGACCATTTCCACATAGTTTATCTCAATGCATTTTCACCACCATTTGTTTTCAGTACCCATTTCACAGATGGGAGAACCAAGCCTCAAAGTGGAAATTTCCAAAGCAATTTCAAGTCAGAACGGCAACCGCATCTCTTATACCTTCATGCCCAGGGTCTTCCCCATGTATCACCTTGTGTATGTGTGTGGGGAGAAGGTGGACACTGTCAACACACAGTGAGTAGGGAGCCAGCCAGTAGGCTTCACCTTGCAAGTCTGGCTGGTAGCATCTTCAAGTTAGGTTGTTTATCCGTTATCTTTAATTTATCAATCTATCTGAAGAGTTCCTCTAAACTATACATGGTGCCAGACATTGTAAGGGCTCTTCTGACACTCTAGAAGAGAGGAAGACAAGTAAAGAAAGCACTGTCCATTGATAGAACCATCTCTAGCTCAAGATGGATCCATTCATTTATAACATAAATATTTACTGGGTGTACCTCCATGTGCTGAGCACCAGTCTAGGCATTGAAGATCCAAGAGTGAACCAGAGACACTATTGGGCAGAGAGGAACAGCACCCAACTCAGGCAGAGCCAGATCTTGGGGTCACATGTTCCCCTTTGTTCCAAGCTCATCAAGAAACCTAATTACAGTCCGGCCTCCTGTATCCCATATAGGTCTGTTTTCAGGGAGAGAATGGGCTGGTCACATGAATTTGCCACATTCTGGCCCATGTGACTGTCCATTCCTGAATTAAAATAAACCCCCTGGCATTCAGCCAGCCAGGGGAACAAGGCCTGATCATAGAGACTTCCATGTCTGGTCCCTAACACTGTGAACTCTTACTGCAAACCTAAGCATTTGCCTGCAGGTTATTTTTATTTTTTAAGGAAATCTTTGTAATTTGGCATGAAAAGCTATGGCAGACTAAAGAAGGGAGATTCTAGGATAATCGTTTCAAATCCTGGCTTCTCTACTTAACAGCTACGGAGCTTGGGGAATTTATTTCCCTTATGACAGGAGATGAATGCCCACCTCACAGCGCGGTGGGAAGAAATAAATAAGATAATGCATAAAGTAATTAGTACCACAAATGCACCCCATGCATTTTAGTCGTCATCATCACCGTCACCATTAAAGAAGGTTATAAATAAATGCATATATGCACGGCTATAAGCTGTGCCTGAGGGGGTTGGGAAAAGCCCCAGGGAGGAAGTCCTGAGAAGAAATGTAAAAGGGAACTCAGGCTGTTCCCAGTGACAGAATGGCAAAGGGCACGTCAGGGAAGGAGAACGGCAAGAACAAAGTTGTGGGGACATGAAAGCGTGGGCAGCCTGGGGCACTGCGCGGGGGCCCATATGGCGTGGCAGCAGGTGGGGGCAGGAAGGGCTCCCTGCATCTCCAAAGGCGCTGAACCACAGGTTAGTTCATTCATCCTCCAGCCCACTGCTCTCAAACTGAAGTGTCTATCAGACGCATCTGGGAGGCTTGTTGTTAAAATGTAGACTCCCAGGCCCTGGCCTCGGAGATCTGGAGTCATCAGATCCAAGACGGTGCCAAACGATCTGCCTTTTTAATGTGCCCCCACAGCAATCCTGAGGAAAGCGGTCCTTGGCACCTGCTTTGGGGAACCCGTTCCCTACCACTCTGCCATCTTCTTGCTGCAGATGCACGCACACACACACACCAACACACGAACACATGTTCTACCATTCCTCATTCCTCCCAACTTATTCCCCCAACTCCATCCATGGGGCAAAAAGCATCAGCCAGAAGTTCTCTGAAGGGCCTTTCTGATCATGTCTCCATCCCCCAATTCGGCTTCTCTTCAGCCCTTGTCCCTGCCAGGGAAGTACAGAATCATGACACCTACAGTGAACACAGGTATTATTTTAATCTTATGGCGCCTGTCATTGCAAGTACCTAAGCATTATCCACGTAAACACCAGGGTGAGGTCAGGACTTGGAAGATACACGAAGAAGAGGGGTGGTTGAATGTGAAACCAACAAAAACATAGCTCCCTCCAGCCCCAAACCCATCTGACCTCTCTCTCCCTCTCTCTGCAGAGAGTTGTCTGCACGGCTGGTCTCAAGTGGTACCCTCACCCTGCTCTGATCCACTGTGTCAAAGGCTGTGAGGTGAGTCCCTGGAAATGATCCTGCTGTTAGAGCAATATTGCTTTCCTAGTCATGGCTATCACTTGCTGTACCTACAAGTGTTGTACATATCCCCTTAGACATGGACAGGAATCAGCAGCCCCATTTGACAGATGGTGGAATTGAGGCATGGATGAACAAACATACTCAAAAATACTTGTAATGGGTAACAGAGTTGGGATTCCAAGCCAGGTTTTTCTGCCTCCTAAGCCTGTGTTCAACATAATATTGCATCTGATTAAAGCGCCTTTACTATGCCAGACACTTCACCAACATTATCACATTTAACCGTGTAGAGCCACATGAGGCATTTTTTTATGCCTCCTAAGCCTGTGTTCAACATAATATTGCATCTGATTAAAGCGCCTTTACTATGCCAGACACTTCACCAACATTATCACATTTAACCGTGTAGAGCCACATGAGGCATTTTTTTTCCTTTCCTTTCCCACTTTACTGATGGCCATTACTTGCAGATAATTTCCTTCTGCTGTACATTTGTCATTTGCTTACTCCTCAACCCCAGACGTAACATGGACGGCTCAGACCCAGCCACTGAGCTAAAAGTGGAAGGTCCTCTCTGGCCCGTCCATTCTGACCTCACAGTTGAGCGTCCCCTGGAACCTGGCACAGGGAGAGCTAGCTCTGTGTATCAGGGACAAGTCTGGGGAGGTGTGTGGGGGTGTCATCTATGGTCTCCAGGGGAGGCTGCCCATGGAACTGAGACATTTCCACACATCCCTATGTTCCTCATGGTTCTTGGTTGGCAGCAAAAAGAGGCCCCAAATCCCACCATGTGGGTATCCAAATCTCTGTGGTCCCTCCCGCCAGAGCCCATTCAGGAAAATGCAGGTGAAAAGGACTCTAGAAAACTTTGTATTTGATGAAATTCTTAAAATGTTAGAACTAGAAATGCTCTTCTAGATATCTAAACCTGACCTTTTAAAGATGAGGATACCAGAACCTAGACAGTGGCCAGGACTGAAGTTAGATGGCATGCCAAAACCAGTGTGAATCTACTCTGTAGTACAGAGTGGAAAATGAGGGTCAGAGAGGGCACGGGCTGGCCCAAGGCTGCACAGCCTCACAGACACAGAGCCGAAGCATGAACCCAGATCTCCTGACTTCCAGAATGGTGCTTTTTCTCCTCCTCTAGGCTACCTCCTGCCCATAAGCCATTCCCTGAGCTCTAAGTGTCACGAGAAAGTCCCTGGGTCACACATTTCTTTCTGTGTCTTGGTTAGGGACCTTCTGTGGCATCTTTCCAGGACCCTCAACACTGTAGTCTCTAAGGACACCTGTGCCCCCCCAGATTCAGCCAGGATCAGCCCAGCAGGGCCAAGGCTGTTGCTTCCTGTCCGTCTCTCTGGATCAGTCTGGCATTTCAGGAGAAAGGAAGCTTGAGTTACCTGGGCACTCGTTCTGCTGAGTCGGCGGTCTGGGCAATCTGGGCACCAGTGTGACAGCGGAATTCGATCCCTCCTCTGCCTCAGCGCCGGGGCCTAAGAGACCCTCACCTGTCAGGCTCCGAGTCTCCCCAGTGATGCTTATCAGCTTTGCCCTTGCAGGTGTTCCTCGTCTCCGTCCCTCTTTAGCTTAGAGCTGTTAGTTTGTCTCTTGTCTGGGGCTGAAAAGTATGCCGAGAAGAGACACACATGCAGAGTACAGAAAAGAGGCACCAACACGGAGGGTCTAGAGGTAGCTAACATTGGGAACGGGTTTTGGGACCCTTGAGCCGCCTTCTCTCTGCCCCAGCCTGTGTCCAAAGAGGTCATTCACTCGCTTGCTCATCAGAGCCTCACCCAGTGCCTCTTGTGTGCCCAGCAGGCTCTGGAAATGCAATGACCTTCGTCCAGCGTAAACAGTAACTAAGCTCTTCCTGAGCATTTGTGGTGTCCTCTTGCCTGTCATCTATCCACACGTGCATCCTTCATTTTACTAAATAAACATCTAAGCAACAGGCATTTAATAAGGTTTTGCTCAAAATGCTAGGCATTTTGCTAGGAATTCTAGGATATGCAAATGGACAGCACCTATTCCTGTCCATAAGGAGCTCAGGGTATAGTAAAGAAGATAGACAACTAAGGAGAGAATTCTGAAAGATGAACCAACGGCGATAACCAAAATAAGTTCAAAAAGCTACAGAAGCATAGAACATCCTGTATTAGGATCTTAGGGAAAGCATTTCGGAGGCACAGTGTTTGAGCTAAATCCTGGTGGATGAGTTGCTTGCCTGAGCACATTATTAGCAGCGGAAGCAGTGTGAGAAATGCCAGAGACAGGAGAAATCCTTAAGTAGCAGGGCTTTTCACATGCTAGTCACTCCAGAAAGTCTCCCTTCTCTACCCTCATCTAATTAGCTCCGACTCATGATCTGGGCTGCCACGTCCTTTCCTCAGGGACCCAGCCACCGAGCCCCCTGATTAGGTCAAATCCTCCTAGTCCCCAACAGCATCGTGTTCTTTTCCTCCATAGCTCTTTCCAGAGTTGAAATTGGCCAATTAGAGGTGTGATTATTTGATTAAAGCCTGCCTCCTCACTAACGTGTAAGGTCTGGACGAGTAGGAGCTCTGTCTATATCGACACACTATTATATCCATTTCCTTTTCACACGATGTGTGACACATAGTAGGCACTCAGCAAAAATGGTTGAATATAAGAGGAATGGATAAACAGCAGGATGCATGCATGGGTGTGGCTGCACGGAAGGGCACATGAAGAAGAGAAACTAGTGATGAGAGTGGAGACTTGTTTCAGGGGCCAAATTAAAAATAAGACTCATTTTCCAATTATTTTTTTCTCTTCCTCCTCTTCTTTCCCAGTGACTCTTTTACCAGCCAGGTTCTTCCATTCTAAGGAAGGGCCATGTGGTTTCCTTTGTCAGTCTGTTTACATACGATATGAGAAAGGACGTAAAGAACAGAGCCCACGGGCCCATCTCCTAAGGCTCAGAAAAACAGAGGGAGTCTCCTTTGGTTGTGTGCTATCTGTGCCTCCTGCTGATAGGAAGGTAACAGCGTGCTCATGGTGGCAGTTGTACAGTAGGGTCACACCTGGGCTCATAGCTATGCACGCACACACACATACACCTGAGCAGAGAGAGAGCCCTTACCTCTTCGTGGCTCTGTTTTGCTAAGGTATTTTTAGACCCAAATAGAGTAGTGGTGAAATGGAGTCTGGCATCATGAGTTGGGGACACAGAGACTCAGAATTGGGAGCAAAGATGCAAACACCAGGGATGCCACCTAGAAGGGACTCCTTGTGAGCTTGGTTCTTCCCAAAGCAGTTAGGATGGGAAGGAAGAGACTGGTGGGCCTTGCAGGTGTTGGGATGCAGTGGTCCCAGCCAACTAATGACATCTTCTTTCCCATCAGTGAGTCACTGGGCATTCGAGACTCCAACCCAAACTTAATCAGAGTGGTTTTACTTTCATCTGCATTCTATATTAAAAGGTCACACAGTATTGCCTTCGATGGTGGGAAGAGGTGCGTTCACTGCATTGAGAAATCAGTGGACTCATCCTGCCTCTTAATTTCACTACTGAGAGTCCTGAGGCCCAGAGAAGATAAGCTACTTAAAGAAAATTACCAAGTAACCCCCCAGTTGGCTAAGTTTGGAAAACCAGAACCCAGGTGTTCTAAATCCCAGACAGCTGCCTTCCCACTCTGCCAGTGCAATTACATTCCATTGTGAAACATCCCTGAGAGCCGAAGTGTGTCCAGCATTAATTCCCAGCTAGGTAATTGGGGGATGGAGATGTACTGGATGCGCCCATGCCTTTGAGGAGCTCACAGGCTTGCACCAGCTACGGGACACATAAATGGGCCATAGAAGGCAGTGTGCTAAGTTCTCACATGGGGAAATACAGGTGTTAGGGGGAGTCAGGAGTCTCTGCAATAACCGCCCCCCCACCCCCACCTGCCACAAAATTGCTCTGGGTTCAGACCAATAGTGACTTCCCTCCACCATCTTTTCCTCATCTTCAGAGCATCACTGCATTGGAGGGACACAAGGAAGAAAAAGCAACAGATCGATATGCACTAGATAGAGCATGGAATGGTAAAGAGAACAGTATGGAACCAACTTAGATTTAAATCACTGCTCTGCCAGTGTGTTCTTGGCCAGGGCCCTTTCTCACTCTGAGCCTCAGGGCCTTCATCTGTAAAGTGGGAATAGCAATACCTACCTCACATGTTGTTCAGAGGATGAAAGAAAACAGCGCATGTGTAAAGCATGTGACCGCAAGTAAACCCGTGCTTCTGTGTTAGAGGAGCGGGAGCCCCCACAGTCATACACAGACCATCGTGCCGAATTCCCGTGAATTCTTACATTTCATCTCTACAGTTCTTAGGTGGTTTGTGTTCAGCTTTCTAATATATTTGCATGCATTTTATTACAAACTGTGTTTCCAATTACATACTACCAAGAAACTTTGGGGAAGGAGCCTCACATTTTCTTTTTTCTTCAAGTACAATGAACCCCCTTTAGGAAGATGTACATGATAAGGCTTTGCATACCCCTGCATACAGGAGTGTGTCTCCCAGAGTAACCATACTTTAGCTGGGAACAAGTATAAATGGTAAAAATGAGAACTGGCCCCAGAGGGTGTTGGGACTTGCAGCCAGGTGGGCTATCATAGAGGTTTATGAGAAGATGAGCGTTACCTAAACTACAGGGGCCGGCCCCATTCCCTCCAGGGTGCTAACGAGGCCTCCTCTCCCTCCTGTCTCTCTCCCCCCTCACAGCCCTTCATGGGAGACAATTACTGTGATGCCATCAACAACCGAGCCTTCTGCAACTATGACGGTGGAGACTGCTGCGCCTCTACAGTGAAGACTAAAAAGGTAGGCCTGGACATTCCCCTCACAGCCACCTCCTGCCGTCGCTCCAGCTCACTGGGTCAGGACCTCTCCTCCATGCCAGACAGCTTGTTGCCCGGGCTGTGTCAGCACTCACCTGCACCCTTTTTTCTGTTATAATGTTTATTCTTTTAGGCTAGTTAGAATATTAGTTGAGCTAGTATCATGTGCTGGGCCCTGAGCTAGGCATGGAGGCTCGTGGGTGATGTTTAGATATGTGGTCCCTTACTTTCAGGGCTCAGAGTCAGGTGTGGAAACACATGTACAGTAAGTACTTCTGGAAGGGAAGGCCCAGAGCATGGGGGCCCAGGCAAGGGGCTGGACAAAGCTGTGCAGAAGGATCAGCACCAATCCTGACACTTTAAGGAGAGGGGCTTGGTGGCCAGGAAGTTTCTGAGACAGGAAATGGGCATGGAAAATCCTAGTAAGAACTTGCATCTTTAGAGGGTATGGTTAAAGTCTAGGGGAAGAGAGAAGATGGGACACTCCCAGTGAGGTCAGTCGTGGCCTTTGATCGTTGTGTGATCTCTTCTCTTTTTCGCACCTGTAAAGTTTGGGGGCGTGGCCCTGGTTGCAGTTTCCTTCCTTCGTGTCTTAGGATGCAACAGCAGTGATTCATATCCCCACTCGCGGAAGAGTGGCCATGGCCACCTCCCTCCAACCATGAGCTGGGACCAGAGTTTGGGGCCCCAGCTGAGAGCGGGGAGCTAAGGGCTCAGCCGGGCAACCGAGTTGAGAAGAGTTCCTTGTGATGAATGAGTCCACAGGGAACGGTTTCTATTTTCATGCTCATCTACAATTTGAGCTTGAAAGCTCATTTGCTCTCCAAGATCATTTGGTCTGATCACTCACTTTAAAGATGAGAGAATTGCGTTCCTGACACAGGAAGGGCAAAGAATCATAGTCAGTCTTGGCTGAAGAGCTGTCTATGATCATCTACTCCAAACTTGTCATTTTATTAACGGGATCCCTGAGGCCCATAAAGGAGTAATGATTTGTCCAGGGTGGCAGAGTGATAGAAACAGCAGGCTTCTGGTTTCCTGTCCAGGTCCTTTTGTATTGCTACATCCTCAGGAGAATTAGTTCCTTCACGAAAAGATGATACGACCCTAAAATGTAGGGATCAATAGGGCAAGACCCGAGGGACACACTCAAGTCAGGGACTGTTGCTGCATCTCTTGGTTGATGAATGGGGCTGCTCAGGTTCTCTGGGCTCAGTCAGGCCTCTTCCCAGTGCGCCTACCTCCTCTCTTAAACATGGAAGGTAGACACTTCCTGCTCAAGTACAGGGGAATAAACTTCATTTATTATTCATGAATTTTATTATTTTTCCTAATTATGAAATAATACATATTCTACTTTCTGAAAAATGTAGAAAGATGATGAGAACAAAAACCACTGATTATCTTACAACCCAAATGTAACCATTGCTTTCCTTCTGGTGTATTTTATTGTAAGTATAAGTACATGGGTATCCATGTCTACATATATAGATCTGCATTTCCAGTTTTGAATCTAGTTGTTTTATTTATTTACCACAGGAGATCATACCTTAGAAATGCCTGTTATTATTAACTTCACAGCTGTATTTTTTTACTGTATTATTATTTATTATATGGTTGTGATATATGATATTTTACATAACCATTTACCTCTAGCTTTTGGGTTACTTCAGTTTCTCACTATGAAGAAATGGTGCTCACAAATAGCTTTACACATAAATACATGTCTAATTATATTCCTTTACAACTGATTCTTAGAATTAAAATGACTAGGCCAAAAGGTATGAGCATTTTTACAGCTCTTGATACCTGTTGCCAAATGAATACGGTGTATAATAGTGTCTATTTCACTCCATTGGAGTCAGCCCTTTTTGAAAGTGAATGGACAATGAACTTTGTGTTTTAAATAGAAGTTTGTGTAGAATTATCACATGTTATTCATCTGACACCATCAGTTGGAGAAAGAGCAGTTCCAATTAAAAGAATTTTCCTACCAACTATAACTTATACATTAAAGCATAAAAAAATAAAACTAATTAATTTTTATTGAGAAACTTCCTTAAATGGATTACTATTTCTACAGAGCGCATGGTAGGGACATGAAGTCATGAGATTGAGGTTCAGGTGCAGGTTCCAATTATAGTCTCTTAATTATAGTCAATTATAGTACATACACACATACACACACACACACACCAAAGACCATTTTGACTGTTCCTACTGGGTTCAGTTGTACCAGTGTCAGCCTCTAGGACTCTGATATGAGCACTGTTTCTTTAGTAAGGGACTCAGGGTCAGTTCTTTGCTAGTTCTGAATATGCTTCCTAGGTGCTTTTTTCTTTTCCACTTAACATAAATGTAGTTCTGGCTTTTCATGTTTTAATTTAAAGTGGCTTCTTCTTCTTTAAATTGGGGTTCTTCCTGTTGACCAAGACAGCAGACTACAGATGACCAAGTTTCCTTCATACAACATGATGCATGGTCATTGGGCATCTCTGTGGGCCCAGCACTGAACCACGAGTCCCACACACACAGCGCCTGCCCTTGTGGAGCCCACAGTCTATCAGGAAGCCAGCCATTAAGCAGAGAGGTGTACAACTATGCATTGACTACCTTTGTGAAAGGGCAATAAAGGAAAGGTGCAGGATCTTATGAAGAACAGTGTGAAGGTCAGAGGAAGTATACTTGAGGCACTGACCATCACATTGAGACCCAGGCAAGAGGAGTTTTCTGGGTGAAGGTGAATGGTGGTTAAACACAGGATGGAGAAAACTGTAGGATGTATGAATTAGAGTGCCTAGAGGCTTTTCTCATGCTTCATATGGATTTGCCATTGCTATTAGTTGTTACAGAAGTATTTGGGACTTTGTTCAGATTTGAGATTCCAAGAAATCTGACTTCTGAGAAAAAAAGGTGTCTCAAATTAAAGTTCATTAGGCATATACATTGGGCACCTTGGTGGGCCCAGCAATGTACTTCCTACAATCTAAATTTCCCAGTTTAACTTCTAAATAAACTCTATCCTGACTGGGCAGGATGGCAAAGAAAGAGCTGAGCCCACCTCCTCCCACATACACACTGAATATATACCTACACAACCAGGGATAACAAGACCACACAAAAAAATGACAGGAGAGATGGTAATGGAGAGAGCCCCACAATGAGCATGGCCCTCCAATAGGGAGACTTACCACCGAGCTACTAGAACAGACTTGCCTGCCCTAGGCACAGAAAAAATTTCACAAGATGAAAGGTTTAAACCTTACAGTAACTATAATTGAAGGAAGCTGATTTTCAGAACTCAAGCACGTGCCAAATGATGGGAACTGCTGGTACTCTCTCCAGAACCAGTGGTGCTACTGAGCACCATTGTTTGCATTCCCACCCCGAGACCCCTGCCCCAGACACTGCTAGCATGGATGGGAGCAGGTTGAGCTACATTTATGTTACCCCTGTGTGTTGAGAGTAGGGACACGAGCAGCGTCAGGGCAAACACACTACATCTAAATGCGGCAGAAGCAGCCTCCTGGCTCCCACCCACAGAAAAGCATGCCTGTCATATGTCCAGCAGAAAAGAAAGAGAATAAAAAGAAATGAGGATAGGTTAAAGGAGCTCTGGGACAGTATCAAACATCCGAATATTCATTATAAGAGTCTCAGACAGAGAAAAGGGAAAAAAATGGGTGGAAAACTTATTTAAAGAAATAATAGCTGAAAATTTCCATAATCTAGTGAAGGAAACAGACATCCAGGCCTAGAAAGCACAGAGAATTTCAAACAAGATGAGCCCAAGACAGTTCATGCAAACACACATAATAATTAAGACTTCAAAGATCAAAGACAAGGAATCCTAAAAGCTGTGAGAGAATAACAAGGATTTACCTAGGAGGGAAATTCTTAAGACTATCAGGTGGTTTTGCAGCAGAAACTTTATAAGCAAAAGGGAGTGGCAGGATAGAGTCAAAATGCCAAAAGAGAAAAACCTGCAATCAAGAATACTCTACCCAGTAAAGTTATCATTCAGAATTGAGACAGAGACAAAGAGCTTCGCAGATGAACACAGCTTAAAAGAGTTCACTACCACTAAACCAGCCTTAGAAGAAGAAATATTAAATAGGCTTCTTAAAGAAAAGAAAAGGGCATAAGCAGAAGCAAGAAAACTATGAAAAGAAAAAAAAATCACTAGCAAAAGAAGCAGACCAGTCAGTTAAAAGCTAGTATGAAGGTTAAAAGACAAAAGTAGTGAAATCAATGACTTCTGAAGATGGGTTAAGGGAATGACTAAATTAAACGTGTTAAAGAAGACATCACATATATAAAATGAGGAGGAGGACTTAAAAATGCAATGCTTTTATAATGCATTCAAACTTAAGTGACTATCAACTTCACATACACTACTATGTATGTGTAAGGCATCGTATATAAACTGGAGTCCAACCATAACACCAGAGAAAGTCATCGAGCCCAGGGGAGGAGAGCAAGAGAGGAAAGGATGAGAGAACTACAAAAACCACCAGAAAACATTTAACAAAACGGCAGAAAGTACATACCTATCAATAATGACTTTAAATGTAAATGGATTAAATGCTCCAATTGGAAGATATAGGGTGCCTGAATGGATATAAAAAAAAGAACTAAGTACATGCTGCCTACAAGAGACTCACTTGAGACCTGAGACACACAGACTGAAATTAAGGGATAGAAAAAGATATTCTATGCAAATAGAAATGACCAAAAAAAAAGTAAAAGCTGGAGTAGCAGTACTTTAAAACAAAGACTGTAAAAGCGAGACCAAAAGGAACATTCTATAGTGATTAAGGGTTCAATCCTTCAAGAAGATATATAATTGTAAATTTCTATGCACCCAAAGGAGCACCTAAATATACATAAGTTATAACAGATATGAAGGGAAAGTTGACAGTAATACACTAATAATAGGGAATTTAACACCTTACTTACATCAATGGATAGATCATTCAGACA